AAAAAAAAAAAAAAAAAAAAAAAAGAAAGAAATAGAAAAGCCTATTTGTAGTCATTTTTTTTTAAACAGAGGCAGGATTTTTTTGTTCCTGCATGTGGTCAGTTTTATTGCAAATAAGGTCTAGGAACCTAAACACATTGGATTCTTAGCTTTGTTGATGACATTTAATTTTGTCAAAGCGCTTTTTTTTTAAACCATCTATTCCTGGCTCATGAGCTTATGTGACATATAATTACTGATAACAAAAATATTTTGTGATCTTTGGTTATAGTGTTCTAAAGACTAATTACTAAAAAACCCATTATCACAAAGGGAACATTCTATCTATTTAATAAGCAAATTTAACAATAATAAGCAATATTATCAATCAATAATATCAAGCTTATCGTCTTATGTCTCATAAATTAACATTATTCTTAGCACTCTAATAACTAGTTATCTTATATTTGAACCCTGAGTATTAGCTTATTATTACAAGACTCTTGAAATAAAAAGAAAACTAGTGCATATTAGGAACTTAACATCAGGTGACTACAGCCGCCTTTGCTAGTTGACTTTTGTTTTTTGTTTTGTTTTTGGCAGCTGGTCAGTATGGGGATCCGAACCCTTGACCTTAGTGTTATAATACCACGCTCTAACCAGCTGAGCTAACCTGCCAGCCAGTGGTTGACTTTTTAAAAATAATTTCCTTTCATTATCATTGGAAAGTACTCAGGTTGCTGATGAAAAACAGATGTCTCTTTTCCAAAGGATGTTCCATTCTTCTAGCACTTAATGTTAGTGAAACAAGTCTGCATGGTGTGCCTGGGCTTTTAAAAAAAATACTTCCTAACTGCACATTAATATCCTCCTTGAAATTAGTGTCCAGAATTGGAGGACACTGCATTTTGTAGCCTTGAAATTTACTTTGCCGCTGGTTATTCTCCACTGTCAGGCCTACGTTTAGGCAAACTGGGTCCTTTGAACTCTATACTCAGTCTATCAGAGACTCACCATCTAGATGAACTGAACGTTTAAAGTACTATAAATTCAGAAATAGGGAGAAAGGGTTGCTGATAGAATCTTTTATCAACAAACTCCAACAACATGTCCCTAGTTGCCGAGCCTGGGGCAAAAATAAAATGCAAGTGTGTTAAACACAAGCTCCAAGGACGCAGCACGTAGGAGTCCGGGCGGCAACTCCCACACTCGCTATCTATCCTGGCAGCCTTGCTGGCAGCACCCGGTATGGAGGTGAACACCACCCACCGCAGGAGCCGGTTCTGCTAAACACAAAACAAACCAGTACATCTTCCACCTGCTAAGTTGTTTGACTGTGGCAGCCTAGGCCAAGGCTCAAATATTCTAACCTCCTCTTTCTTCTTGGCTTTGTTCTTGTAAATGCGGTTTACTCTGAGATCAACTATCCTCAACTGTGGTTGACTTTTTAAAAATAATTTCCTTTCATTATCATTGGAAAGTACTCAGGTTGCTGATGAAAAACAGATGTCTCTTTTCCAAAGGATGTTCCATTCTTCTAGCACTTAATGTTAGTGAAACAAGTCTGCATGGTGTGCCTGGGCTTTTAAAAAAAATACTTCCTAACTGCACATTAATATCCTCCTTGAAATTAGTGTCCAGAATTGGAGGACACTGCATTTTGTAGCCTTGAAATTTACTTTGCCGCTGGTTATTCTCCACTGTCAGGCCTACGTTTAGGCAAACTGGGTCCTTTGAACTCTATACTCAGTCTATCAGAGACTCACCATCTAGATGAACTGAACGTTTAAAGTACTATAAATTCAGAAATAGGGAGAAAGGGTTGCTGATAGAATCTTTTATCAACAAACTCCAACAACATGTCCCTAGTTGCCGAGCCTGGGGCAAAAATAAAATGCAAGTGTGTTAAACACAAGCTCCAAGGACGCAGCACGTAGGAGTCCGGGCGGCAACTCCCACACTCGCTATCTATCCTGGCAGCCTTGCTGGCAGCACCCGGTATGGAGGTGAACACCACCCACCGCAGGAGCCGGTTCTGCTAAACACAAAACAAACCAGTACATCTTCCACCTGCTAAGTTGTTTGACTGTGGCAGCCTAGGCCAAGGCTCAAATATTCTAACCTCCTCTTTCTTCTTGGCTTTGTTCTTGTAAATGCGGTTTACTCTGAGATCAACTATCCTCAACTTTAGCACACAAGAGAAAATGATGCAACTGTTGCTTGTGATATCCAAACTTGTGGGGCAGTTACTATGCTGATGGGCGCTGCTAAAAATGAGACAGCTAAATTAATCTTAGATGAAATCACTAGAATGTATGCACTGGAAAAGACACTAAAAGAGGCTACGTAGGCCATGCAAAGTAAATATTACTTGTTGAAACTATGCTAAGGACTGTACGTGATTATGTCATGGAACCTGAACACCAACCCCATAAGGGAGGTCCGGTTATTATACTAGTTTTACAGATAGGGAAACCGATACTTAGATTAAGTAAGTCGTTCTTGGCCACGTGGCATAGAAGTAGAACCAGCACTTGAACCAGCCGGGTCCGTCAGATTCCTGAGCATGGGCCTCTGACAATTATCTGCCTGGCCCCCTCCCCAGCCCCTACTAATGTGTAAGCTCTATGGAGGCAAGAGGACATACCGTAGCATCACTGGGGCCTGGCACACGAGGATGCCCCCAGATGTTTGTTGGGCAAATGAATGACAGTGAGGACTGAAGTTGCTGCTCGTTACTAAGCATTTACACTTGAGCTCATATTTCTGAGAGTTGTCTGCATTTTGTTTTGTGGGCTTCCTTTCTCATAGGAGATTCGTATTATCTTTTAATTGTTATTTTTCCACGAACTTTTTGAAGTACCCTCGTATATATATATATTTATAGCTAGTGAAGGGGAGTGAGATTTTGATGAACAAAATATGCAATGAATGGCGGAAATACCTAGAGAATGCTTGTCTCAATGACTTTCCTCTCGAGGCTGCTATAATGAGGGTGAGGAAGAACAAAAGCTCTCCCTCCCTCCCTACGCTGGGGCCGGCCAGAGCGGCATGTCTAGGCTGCTTCATGGTTGCTGCTCTGGCTCTGAGATGCCCATCCCCACTTGCGCAATGAATGGCGGAAATACCTAGAGAATGCTTGTCTCAATGACTTTCCTCTCGAGGCTGCTTTAATGAGGGTGATGAAGAACAAAAGCTCTCCCTCCCTCCCTACGCTGGGGCCGGCCAGAGTGGCATGTCTAGGCTGCTTCATGGTTGCTGCTCTGGCTCTGAGATGCCCGTCCCCACTTGGCCCCTGCCTCAGGTGTAGCTTTCTGGCATTGCAGGCACGGAGGACAAGGCTGGCAGAGAACNAATGAGGGTGAGGAAGAACAAAAGCTCTCCCTCCCTCCCTACGCTGGGGCCGGCCAGAGCGGCATGTCTAGGCTGCTTCATGGTTGCTGCTCTGGCTCTGAGATGCCCGTCCCCACTTGGCCCCTGCCTCAGGTGTAGCTTTCTGGCATTGCAGGCACGGAGGACAAGGCTGGCAGAGAACATCACAGGTAACTGGGAATACTGATGGTGGGAGGGATCCTG